TATATATATATATATATGATTAATTACAATCATATCACATTGAAACACCAATTCTTGTTCGATCATCCAAATTAAGCAATATCAACCTTGGGCAGTACCTAGATGGGTAACTGCTTGGGAATACCAGGTGCTGTAAGTTTGGGTGTGTGTCATGTAATGGATAATGCTTCGTAATTGGAAATCGGAGAGCCAAGTTCCAATTCCAATTGGGTTCATTATATTCACATGTCCAAATGCTGTTGGGAAAGGAAATACACCTCTTCCTCCCCCTGGGCTAATTAGTAGAACTTGTATCAGTAAATCATTTATTATCTCCAAAAAATTCTTATAATCTAAAAATATTTTCTGGCTTTGTATAACTTAGAAAAGGTTGATAAGCCATAAAAAAACAAATCAATACTTACAACCAAAACTACTGTCAGATGATCAACAAACTATGACTTTAAAATTTGAGTTCAATGTGTTATATGAACTACTTAGAGTGTATGGATGTGCAGAGCCGGTGCTTACTACCCCACCCCTACCCTGATTGGTGGGGGCAAGACCCTTGTAACTGTATAGGTATATGAAATAAAATATGTATGTGTGTGAGCATTTGTGGATAATAGTGATCTTGAAAATTATTTTATTACCTTACATACAATCCCAGGTAACCTTGCAAATTTTTATGAATAATTTAGGTTATAAGATATGGAGAAAATTCTTCTGCCTAATTTATGGTTGATTAAAACTTGTGCTAAAAATGTCAAATATAGTATCACAAAATTTTAGGTAAAAACTGAAGCCTCATCTCAAAATAAATTTTTGATGTCTGCAGTATCACATTTTTCATACATTTCATTGTTTATGAATTTTCTCATTAAAACAAATGAAGCCTTTTTAATATGGTTAGATATTTGGAATGCAATTTTGGTTGATTTTACTGTGAAAAGTAGGGTTTTGTCTGGTCTTTTTGATCAGTGTAAGATTTGTAGTTTGACTCAACCGAGCGTTAAAATGTATTTTGGGAATAATGCTTGTTTTGACAGTGTCTACTAATCTAATTAGATCTCACTTGTTAACTCTGTGTGAAAAACAAATAAAATGTCTATATTTGTTTTTTTCATTTTAATTAATTATTAAACTATTTAAACATGAGTAAGTCTTATAATTTTATCTTAACAGATTGACTTACGAAAGATGAAAATTAAACACTTTAATTGATGGAAATATGAAAAATAATTGTCTGTGCAATAAATAAACAAAATTATAAATAAAATAAAAGTAAAACAACTCACTCATCTTAAATACAAAATAATTATTATGGATAGCTCAGAGCTTCTGGATTTTTACGGTTTAAACGCCACCTCCCCACCCTCGAAATTCTATTAAACACGCAAAAATAGTCTCACTTAAAGACACAGATGAAGATAGTACATTTAAAAGTACACGCTTTTAGTCACTAGTGTGTAATGACATGTACACATTATCACTAAATCTTGTAAAACAGTAACACACACGCGCGCATACATGCTCACACACACACACACACACACACACACACACACACACACACGGTGTTTGTTGCAGTAGATTCCCACGCACATAAGCATGTCATGTCTGCATGAATTTTTTGACATCATTTACTATCCGACTAATCCTATCTGCACACACACACACACACACTCACACAGCAGAATATCAATTTCACGTGTTTGTAGCGACAACAGATCCATAATTCGAAATATAAGCGTTCTAACTAGATTTAATTATTTTAAATCCATTCCTGTTCCTGCCTATGCCAGTTTGTATGCATCTATCTATCTATCTATCTATCTATCTATCTATCTATCTATCTATCTATCTATCTATCTAATTTACAATAAGGAACACCAACATATCGATTAAATTGTACATTTATTCGCTCCCTCTTAAAATATATCGGCCGTGAAGCACTTTTTTTTCGAGATTAAATTTTTCATCGCCCAATTTTCAAACGAAACAATTAAAAACTAAAGGCGTTTTTAGTGATTAAAATTTGAAAAAAAAGAAAAATATTTTTTCACAATAAAATTATATAATCTTCTGTATTCTTTAAAATAAAATACTAAGAGAAAATATATAATTTTATCTTTTAGTTTAAATCCGAAATATCGCTATTTTGGGATTAAATGAAATAAGACCACACACACACACACGCACGCACACACACACACACACACGCACGCACGCACGCACGCACGCACGCACGCGCGCGCGCGTATGTATGTCCCTCTCCTTAGAAAACTTTAGTAACAGCGATTATTCTGGGGTTCAATCATCATTTAATTGTCCGTAAAAATGATTTATCCGCTTCTTCCGAGATTAAAAGAGAAATATTTTTCGCCTTTTTTCGGCATCCGTTTAAAAAGAAAGAAAGAAAGAAAGAAAGAAAGAAAGAAAGAAAGAAAGAAAGAAAGAAAGAAAGAAAGAAAGAAAGAAAAGTAAGAAAAAGAATGTATATTTTCTAGGAAATTGATCACTCGTAGCAATTTCACCCTTTCCTTTTATTCCGTTTCGGTAATGTTTAATCATCTTCACGTCGGATCATATCATTAGATCACCAATATCGATCGATTAAAACAGAAATGTACATTTATATTTCTTCCTCCTTGCACATATCCAGTTTTAATCTTTTTTAAAGAAAAGAAAAGAAAAAATGTCCACAATTCAGTGATCATTCATCGACAATTGTTTAATAAGAAAAGATGCCAATGTCTGGTTTTATTGTCCTTAAACTCCTACCTACTTCTTTTTTTCTCATTGGTTTTCGGAAAGAACGTTATCTGAACAACAATCTTTTCTTTTTGGTTTCTTTCTTTCTTTCTTCCTTTTCTTTCTTAAAGGCAATTATATTCGCATCTTGGCCTCCTCTCTCTCTCTCTTAGTCTTATGTTCTCTCTTCTTTCCTTACTTTCCCGCCACCGCACAATTCTCTTCACAGTAAAAATTGACAGTCGATTTGATTTGCATTAATATTGCCTGCTTTCATCATCATTATTCACATGTAACCGCAAGAGAAGAATAAAATACGCTAACCATAAACGGGGAGAAAATAAAATAAAAAAAGACAAAGTTGGGCTTTAAAGAAATACGGCGATTTTTTTTTACTAGGCCCCATATTGTGAACAAACACGTAACCCCCTTGAACTAAACTTTAAGGTAGCATTATTTTATTTTTATTATTATCGCCATTCTTTTTTTAAAACACTGATTTTCAAGAGCATAGGAAATAATAAATCGCGTTTTATATTGAGGAAATTCCGTATTATTAAGCATGGAAATAACGGATCTTTGTTTACACTTTTACTCAACTGATTGTCGTAAAAGTAAAACCGTACCAAAGGCAAGCTCGTACGTAAATAATAATAATATATTAAATAATAATACGAGTGGACGATGACATTGTCATTTTCACTTAAGCTCAGCTGATATAATTAAATTTTGTCTGCCTGCTGATTTAATTTTTGTTTTCAAAAGAAAAAAAAACTAAAAAACATATATCTGGATGCGGAGAATGTTTGTTAAAAAATTTAAGGATGATCGCAATATGAAGCTTGGTAAATAGTTTTTTTCCTCAATCCATCATCTATTATGGTTTTCGTTTCTATCCATTTCATGCTGTAGCCTAACAATTACCGTTGTGGTCACATAATGGGGGATCAATTTTGATTGATATGCAATGCAATATATACATTTATTGATTCTCCCACTCTTTTTTTACTCCAATTGTTACATTCGATCACTCACTGACTGGTAATTATTTTTACATGGCTTCATATTGCAAAATGATTTTATTATTTTATTTTTTTTTACAATTTTTAAGCAGTAAAGTAATATAAACATTATTAAAAATACGGGAAAATTTGAAGGGAATAGTAACCAAATTTAAGTCCTTGCATTATGTTGGGTTAGGAAGATTACATCGATTGAGTTGATGATTGTCAATTGAATAAATTTTGTGTTGTTAATACTTACTTCTTAACTTTAAATTAGTACTAACTAGAAGAGAAAGAAAGTCTATAAAAAAGAAAAGAAAAAAAGAGTAACATTGTTTCGTCATATTTTCACAGATGTTTTCTGTTTTATCAGAACTTTTTTTTTAGCAATATTGTGGGAATTTAAGGATTAAAAATGTCTGATAGTAACTTGTTCACAAATTTCACACAATTCATTTTATTTGTTAATTCATTAACAAAATGATGGTGATGATGGGTACTTGCTGTCACTTGGTCTCCAGCAATAATCACAAGAGGTCGGAATGGAATAATAATCAAATTTTTCACTTTTCTTTCAGTGTTACTGTTCGTTAATGAATATCTCTCTTTCTAGAAGTCTGTAGATAAGTTTAAAAAGGAAGATTGTGTTGCGCCAGTTTCCCGAGTGGAGAGAGCAGGCCTAATATTAGCCTAGCATATAAAATTTTGGCTTTCACTTTTTGATCATTAGATAGATAGATAGATAGATAGATAGATAGATAGATAGATAGATAGATAGATAGATAGATAGATATGAACAGAAGTACACTTGAAGTTAAAAGAATCATAAATTGGTCAGGGAAGAAATTTTGTTTTTATAAAAAAAATAAAGCATTTAAACACGAAAAAAGAAAGAAGAAATAAATGTAATTGTAAAATGAATACTTAAAAAAAAAGGGAAAAAAAGAAAGTAACTCTTTTTCTTGAGATTTTGTGTTCCTACAGCTTTATCTTAAAACCACGCTTCTTATTCGCCAAATTACGTACGTGCTTCTTCTCAGTCATTTATTTTTACAGCCAACTTACAACCCAGTCTTTTTGATGTTTCCTACCGACAAACATCGCTTGCATACATATTTATCCCTCTTCTTCTTCTTTCTATTACTTATCCCTCTCTCTATTTAGAAACTTTTTTATTTCAATTTTACCATTCCACTCAATCTCCCTTTCTTTTTCTCAGGATCTCTTTATAAGTTTTGAAATCCTTCCCCACATTTTTAAACAATGTCCTTCTTCCTCAGCTTTTATTTAAACTTTTCTTTTTTCACTATTTTTTTCAAACTTCACTTTCACCTAATTTCACTCCAATTTATTATACTTCTCTCTTCGTCTTTCTTTTTTTTTATTTCCCTCTATTTTCTCTTTGCTTCAACTGACACTTTTTTCTTTCCCAGCTCCTCTCCCGTTACATTTTTTCTTCGACTTCCACACATGTCTATTTAATTTACTCCACTTTCGTTCTTTCTGTCAGAAATGAAATCTATTCCTGTCACCCACTTTTCTTTCATCACTTCTTAAACTCCTCCGTATTAAATTCCTCTCTATCAGAAACCGATACACCTACTCCCTTTTATTACATGTTTCTTCTTTCTCTTTCCCGAATCTCTTTTAAATTCCTTACTTTATCAATCACTTCTCTGTCTTCTTAAAATAATTTCTTTTTTCTTCTTTTACTGCAACTTATTTTCTCCGTCTCTTTCTCTTTATTTTATTCTTTTATTGATTTCTTTAGTCATTCATTTGTCTCTCACTATTGATTCTTCTATCTGCAACTTTATTATTCGTACTCCATCAGCGTGAGTTTGTCTTTTCTTCTTCCTCACTGTAGTGTATTTGTTTCAATTTCTGTCGGCTTTTTTTTTCATCCCGCGTCACTTCCCTTTCTTCCCAATGACCCTTTTACACGGTTTGTCTCCTATTTAAGGAGGCTAAACATTTTCTTTCATCCTTGATTTGTTTATCTCCTGTTCGTTTAAGTTATTATTGGTCTCTCCGTCTGTATCGATGACTTTCCTCTCTTTATTGATCGAACTTCTTCCTTCGCCACCCATTTCAGTTCACTATATATTTTTGTCTTTTTGCCTTTCAGCGATTTAAACACCTTCTCATTTCGACTTCCTTCCCTCATTCAATGTCCCTTGTCCAATTGTTTCCTTTTCTAGCGTGAAATTTTTGTCTTTTCCTCTTATAAAAAGAGGGCTAATCTTTCACTTCCTCTCCTTTCACTTCAGCAATACTTTGTCTTCTACATTTCTCTTTCTCAGTCACTTCTCTGTATTTGTCGTTCTTTCCTCTCAAGACTCACTCACTTTACACTTACTACTTTCTCTTTCACGCCCTTTCTATCTCTCTTTTATTTTCTTTTTTTTTTTTCATCTTTGACATTGTTTTCTTCTTTTTCGACTTTACACTTTTGCTTTTCTACCCCCAAACAAATTATTTTATTCTTTCGGTTTCTCTCTTTTTTTAACTGAAAAATAATTTTCTCTACTCCCAGTAACGATATACACTTTTTTGTATCTACTTGTCATTTATAACTCTTTCTTTCTCTCTTGGTCACCTTCAGCTTCCCCCTTCTCTTTTAGCCTTTATCTTTCTGTCTTTGCCTCACTCGTATCTCTTTTTACTTGTCTCCATTTCTATTGATAAACTACACAACCTTTTCCCTCTAAGTCGAACTTAGTCTTTTCTTCTTTCTTTCTTTTTTCATCGACTTTGTCAGTGACTTAGTTTACTTTTATTTCTATGTTTTTCTTCTTTCCCTACATCTTTTTCTTAAACTTCACTGTTCACCCACCCAGTTTCTTGTTTACCTATTTGTCTCTCTGTCTATCTCTAACTTTCTTTTTCCCTCCTCTCATTTACCTTTCGCTCTATCTTTATATCCCCCCTGCTCAGTTTTAACTGCATGCACTTTCCTACTCTGTCAGTGCATCTTACTCTTTCTTTCTCTCCTTTTCTTTTTCATTCACATCACGCCTCGCCTCCCGCTGTCGTCATGAAAACGAGTGAAGTACTCCGGCGATCATGACGACGATACAGATTTATTCGACGAGGGAAGGATTGAACTATCAAACCCCAATTCTTTCTCTGCATCGTTTCAAATGTTTTTAGAGAGGGGTGGGGGATAAAAGGACTAAAATAGCACCCCTAAAAAGGGTGAGTTTTCTAGTTTCGATAAATTAATAGTCTCTCCCACAAAAAAAAAAAAAGAAAAACGAACGTTACATTTTTTTCTTTTGCAGAAAAATCGACGCTTAAAAAAATATTAACAATCGATTGATTCGATTTTATTCGAGAGAGAGATTATTCATGGTGACGAATTTAGAAAATGAATGTTTACGGATATGCATATTACTAACTTATTTTTAACTTTAAATAAATATTTTTATTTTATCAGAAATTAAAAAAATATCAAAAATGAAAAATATATATTATAAAATAAAAATAGGAGAGAGAGAAAAAAAATAAGGCGACCACAGACATAAAGGCAAATTTAAGAAAACGATATCAATATCGGCAACAAAAACAAAAAAAGAAAGGGTGTAGGTAGAGAGTAAGAAAAATTGTGAAGCGATCATCAACAACAATAAACAAGACATTTTATTCGTCCTTTTCGTTTTTCATTCCTTGCAGCAGCAAACACCATAACATGTTAAGATACACATCTCTCCATTTCTCGCTATATTTCCCCCAATTCGATTATTCCGACACTTCCAAGCGTTTATCCCGTAGTTCCGTAGTTCCGAATCCGATCTCTTCCCCCTCTGTCTAATTGTTACTACCTCCCACTCCCCCCTCCCTTCCATAACCAGCCACCCGGGGCACTATTCCGCTATTCCGGCGATCGTCAGAATAACTGTTCCCCGCCGTTCCGTAATTCCGACATTCTGCTAGATATCGCAGTGGCAAACAAACGCGCCCGTTATCCAACGAGATTTGCTTCTCATCAAAGGGGAAAAATGGCTGCGAACAATGTGGTCTGATATTCGACGCAATAACGTTGTGCCAGCCGAAAGAAGACGAGCCGCATTTATGTCTGCTTTTCACAGGAAGAGCTAATGAACCTTTGACGATTGGACAGAATACAAACCCTTGTGAGCCGAACTACAAATCACCGGCATCTCGGTGTGTTTTTTCTTCGCCCCCTATACTGGTCGCCGCTCTCCGGACGCCATAATATAATCGTAGTATAAAGTAGTAAAAAGCCTACGACGACGACTCGAAAATCGACCGAAAAAAGGTCGTATTATTTTTTTTTCAGCTAGGATCGTCTCGCTCCAGTTGTTGTCCACTAAAACTCCTGTCGATTTGGAGGCAACAAGCCAACCTCCTATTTTTTTAAACCCCTTTTTACCCCCCTGACTTAAACGGACAGAATGTCGTCCAAAATGGATTTCAAACCGGGCGACAAGATATTCGCCAAAATGAAAGGCTACCCACATTGGCCAGCTCGTGTAAGTCTTTTTTTTTTTTTTTTTTATTGTTTGTTTGTTTTCTGTCCTCACTCTAAGCCTTTTTTGATTTCTTTTAAATGTGCTCGTCTCTCCTTGATTAATTAGATTTTTCCCCCATTTTTTTTTATCAACAAACAACTGTTCCTTGTTTTTAGTGTATCATTCACAAAGACTAGAGAACATTTAGGCTACAACTACTCAACACACTGTTTTAAGTTTTTTAATACTACTATTTCTTGTTATGGTGTTTACTCTTATTCTTTGCTCCATTTCAGTTTTTTTTTTTTTTTTTTTTTTTTTACACTTATTTATTCTTTACTTAACCGGGTGGAATTCTAAAAAAAAAATCGTTTATGTATTGCATTTTTCTTATTTTCTGTTTTATTAATCGAACTTTAGGAGTGTGTAGTGAAATTGAAAGGATACTATTTCTCTCTTCTTATCGAATATCTTGTTGGTCCCCCCCCTTTCTTTTCTGTTTAATTATTTTTTTTCCTTATACTGTTCCTTAAAAGATTGTTTTCTTTTTGTATCATTTGTTCTTTTACACATGTATTTTTTTCTCATGTGATTTAACTTTATCTTTTTGTTTGACCTTTGGTCTGAATTTTGTGTTTTGTTTTTATTTCATGTGTGGAAAAAAGGTCTTTTTTTTTTTTTTTTTTTTTTTTTTTTTGGCGGGCTGTTAAAAACTAGTGAAAATTATTATTGTTTCTATTTTTATACCAATTTTTGTATAATATTGATCGCTTTTATTGTAAAAAAAAATCTATTTAATTTTTTTTCTGTGTCAGTGTGATCAACTTACAATCTAAGCGGAAAATAAAAAAGGTCACATAGTGAACTACTGTATTTAGTCTCAGAAATTGCTTGTGTATTATAAAATAAAATAAAACTGCTCCACCCCAACCTCGTGTTCTACCTACTCTAGTGTTAATGTACCTACCTCCCAGCCTAACGAAGAAAAACGACCCCTCACTTCTAGGCCAGAATCTTTATCGTTTCTGTGTCTGTCTGGCAACTGATGACGATAGATCGGTTATTGAGAATCTTATTGTTTTCTTAATTGCTTTTTATAAACATCAGCGACTGATCATCACAATTTGTCTATCTTGCACAAGTATTACGTGTGATCTGATCTTGATATATACACATGTTTCATGAGTCTATATTTTTCTAAGTTGATCTAATTATAAAATGGGATCAAAAATAGTATTTGAAAACAATAACTCCAATTTTTTAAGCGTATTTCTTTTCGATGTTTTTAGTTAATTTTCGCATGATGATCGTTACGTTAATGTTCTCGCTTGTATATGAGCTTAGAACAGCGAATTGTTTCATCAAATATCTTTTTTTTTTTCTTTTTTTTTTTTTAGTTCTTGGTATTGATTATTTTACGCTTTACTGATTGACTTTTTAGCACTTTATTCACATTATCGACATTTCTTATAACTAAAAATTACTCTTTTTCATTGGTTCGAATTTTTTTTCATATTTACTTTGAATAATTGAAACTAGTAAATAATTCATTTTTATGTTGGTATTTTCGTTTAATTTTTGTAAGATTCATTAAACAGTTTCGTTCTTTCAAAGTGTGTTAAAATAAAATAAAAATTATTTTTATCCTATTTTTGTAATTACCATCTTTTCATAATGCTGTATAGGCAGCTTTAAATGTTTCTCGAAATGAGCTTTTGTTTTTTTGTTTTTTGTTTTTTTTTAAATTTTGCTCAGTGTCGTTCAAAATAAAATAAAAAAATCTGTTTGTACTTTGACGAACGTACAGCTTCGAACTTATTTCGGGACCTGTCGCAAATAAAATCTTTTTGTATATTTTTAATTTTTTTTTTTCTTTTCGTGATTATTTTTTTAACCGACTTATTTTTATTTTAAACCCTATTGAGTTTCTTTTTATTATTATTAAATAATCGGGTTGTCTCCTCTTACAATTCCCGGTTATCGAAATAAAATGTTTAATCGGCAATCAAGCACCGTTTTACTCAGCCATTCCCCTTTGGGTCTAAATGTCTCTACTCTTTCTATCGTTTTCTACAAGATATACATGTCAATAAATGAACGGAAATTTATTAAACTTCGATGTCTATCTACGTATCGTATAGCATAAAACATAACAGCACATTTTTAAAATCAAATAATAACCGCTTAACCGTAACAATGATCGAAAAACATTATCATTGCAATTCTGTTAAAAGTTCTATTTTTGTCCATATCTTCAACAACCTAAAAGGTCATGATAAAATGTTTGTGCGAATCTTGCAAAATTCAGTATTTTTCTGGATTTTTTTATTTTGTTTTATTTTCTCAGCCTTGACCTTTTATGCTAATGAAAATTTGAACAGAATTTTTTAAAAAAATTCTTTTTATAACCTTTTTTTTTTTTTTTTTTTTTTTTTTTTTTTTCACAGGAAATAACCATTTTTCAAACATTGGTCTGTTCTCGAATTATTTCAGTGTTTTTTAACTTTTGACGAAAGTACTTTCATTAGAAATAGTTTATTAAAAAAAATAAATAGAATAATAAAAAATAACAGGCCGTATTGAACTGAAAGTGTTGCTGTTATTTCCCGAAACTTTTTTTTTTTTTTTTTTTTTTTTTACAATTAACAAAAAAAAAAAAAAATCATTTGAGATAGTAATTTTAAATCAAATGCATTCTTTTTCCGAGTTTGGGAGGTAAATGAAGGTCATAAAAAGAATGTCACGTTTTACTTTTAGTTTAAGGGCCATTTTCGTCGTCTTTTTGTCTTTTCAATTTTCTTCTTTTTATGAATTTGTGGTTAATTTTGATTTTTGAATTATGGGTGAAATTCTAGAATTAGAAAATTAACTTTTAGCCCCTTACAAGATTTTTTGAACAAAAATTAAAAAGTACACATTTTTTTTTTTTTTTTTTTGTTGTTAATTGGAAAATTAAAGAAAGAATAATTTAAAAAGTAATTGCCTCTTCAAAATGTTTTAATAAATTTTTCACCGGTGACAAATTAAAAAATAATTTCCGGAAACGAACAATTGTTAAGCGTTCTCATTAATGATGAAAAATAGTTTGAAAAGTTTGAATTTAAAATTCTAAACATCCCATGTAAACAAAACTATTATCTCCCTTTTTTTTTTTTTTTCAACAAATGAAGTTCTTGTTATAGAAGATAGAATTATCAATAGAAATCTTTACTAATAAAAAAAAAAATTAGTTGCTGTTATTCTTGAAAATTTAGAAGTATAAAAAAAAAAATCACAAAGGTAAAAATATGAATGACTTAATGGAGATATTGGATTGCTTTATTTTTCTAGCTGCACAATTAACAACTGAATGATGTGCTAAATTCTTTGACATGATTACGTTCAGTGAAATATTTCTAAATAATATTTTGTTGATTGGTTCTTTATCTTACTGCATTTAACAATGAACATTTATTAATTTCAGAAGTATTTGGGTTACATATGCTACAATTCTTTTTGAGATGTCAGTTTTTTGCATTTTCATGAGTTATTGAACTTTCTGGATAAAGATCAACTACATCAAGCAGAAAATTTCAAATTTGCATCGGCATGTTATTAGGATGTCAGCAACAATGCAGGCAAAATATTTTGAAAGTCAGCTGATTTAAAAATTGTATATGCTCATTTTCTTCTCAAAACTACTTTTATAAATTTGATTTCTTTGACTCCATTATGAATTAGAAAACACACGCACACAAATTTGTGTTATAATTGTTAATAGATTATCAAACTTTTACTGTTATGAATACTATGAATTAGAAAACATAAATTGTTACTAACAAAAATGACGTACTGAGTTGAATGGTATCTTTTGGTCTGATTGTAATAGTAAAATGATTTTAATCAACATCAGATAATTGCTTGTTTACAAAAAACTCATAGATCTTTGTTTTAAAGCAAAAAGAGCATGTTTTCCTTGTTGAAAGCATTACCCATTCATTTAAATAAGTTAAAATGATGGAACAAAAATTTCTTTGTCACTGCTAATTTGCTAGAATTTAATAGGGTGTATAGTTCAATAAATATTTCTTTGGTGTAATTCATGAAGTGTCTATATTAATTATATACATGCTATCAAGTAATAATAGTACTTATATTTTTGCAGGTCTGTTATCAAATCATGTAGAAATTATTTGTACATCAACTATGTGAATTTACTTTTATGAGCTGTTGTAAATTTTCCAACACATAAAAGTTAAGCAATTTTTTTTTGTGTGTCTGCATATTGATGTAGGAATGGATCAGATGAAACAAGGTACAGGCATACAATCCATCAAATTATACAAAACTTGAAATTTCATTACAATTATAAAAACAATAGTTATCTGCCTTAACTGAATGCTCAATTTTTACAAAATTTACTTAGGTACCTCCACGAGATCGCTAAAAAAAGAGCATAGCATGATGAAAAAGACGCCAAACTTGGCGGAAACAAAATTTTATCGTCTAAATGTTTGTTATTATTAAGAGGAAAGGTCAAAGTATTTTTTGGGGTATTTTTTTCCATTTTTAATCGTTCCTAGCACGTCCGAAATTTTCGTTAAAAATCTGTTTTTTTTTTTTTTAGTCAGCAAAATTGACCATTTTTTTCCATTTTAAAAAAAAAATGGAAATCTGACTTTGAAATTTTTTAAATATCAATTATCATTTTTTCAAAACTTATTTTAAGAAAATCAGAAATTATAATGTTTATTTAAAATATTTTGAACCAAACTTAAGTTAGCTTTTGTGCCAAAAAGATGTAATTTGAAAATAAAACAAAGCAGGTCATAAACTTTCACGTCTCTTGACATGTGATGAATGATATATTTACGAATTCCATGAGGCTAATTTGTTCTACGGAAGGAGAAAAGTGAAATAATTTACATTTACGTGAACAAATTATTTACCCGTTATTTTTAAACTTTCTAATTTTTTTTTTTTTTTTTTTTTGTACTTAGCTTTCACCTTTACGTTTATGATGCTTTTTTATGGAAAATATA